TGACTGTACCATGGACTGCCAGAAAAACTAAGAAATCTGTCATGGAAGAAGTACAGCCAGAATGCTCCTTAGAAGTGAGGATGGTGAGACTTTGTCTCACATGCTTTGGACATGTTTTCAGGAGGGACCAGTCCTTGGAGAAGGACATCATGCTTGGTAAAGTAGAGGATTAGCGAAAAACAGGAAGACCCTCAACGAGATGGATTGACACAGTGGCTGCAATGATAAGCTCAAGCATAGCAGTGATTGTGCGGATGGCGTAGGACCAGGCAGTGTTTCATTCTGTTGTATATAGGGTCACCGTGAGTTGGAACTGACTCAGCGGCAGCTAACAGTACAACAACTGTGTTTATCTGTTAGAATAAAAGTAACAAAAATCAGGGGTCATGCATGGAAATAAAGAGTGCGAGAGGTTGCTCTTCTCAGACTACTTTACCAGTTCTTCCTGTTCTCTTCAATTTTTCGGTGTTGGGGTGCCTCCCCGAGGGTATTCGTCTCTATCTGTGTTCACTCCCTTGGTGACCTCATCCAGGTTTACTCCTTCAGATGCCATCTATATGCTGATAATTCCCAAATGTTGATCTTCAACCCAAATTTTGTACCGGCCTCCAGGCTTGTATGTCTGCCCACGACACCTCCCCTTGGCTGTCTAGTAGATATCTCAGAATTCAGCCTGTCCAAAACTGAACTCTTGATTCACTGTCTCTTTTACATCTGCTCTACCCAGAACCTTTCCATCTAGGTGGATGGCAAGTACACTCTTCTCTGGCGAATTAACTCTTGACTTCTCTCACACACTCACACACACACCCCCGCCCCCCACATCCAGCCCATCGGGAAATCCTGTTGTCTCTCCCTTCAAATTATGTCCAGATTCCAAAGTGCTTTTCAGACTACCACTACCACCACCCTGGTTTGAGCCACCATCATCTCTCACCTGGACTATTGGTCGCCCTGTTTCTGCCATTGCTACCCTAGTGGTCTTCTCAGCATAAGTTAGATGACAGTTCTCTGCTCAAAAACCTGCACTGCCTCCTCCTCTCACTCAGTAGAGTCCAAAGCCCTCATAATGCTTCCAGGCCCTCCGTGCACATGACCTGCTCCTCCCCCCTCTCCTTTTACCTCCTTACCTCTCTGCCTTTATCTCTGGCCCCACTTCACTCAGCTTCACTGGCCTGCTGAGGGTCCTCAAGCATTCCCAGGCAGGTTCTTACCTCCAGGCTTTGCACTGGCTGGCCCCTTTGCCTGGGTGCATTTCTGCAGACATCAGCTGAGCCACCTCTCCCCAGGCCTCCTCCAAGTCTCTGCTCAAACGACACCTTCTCAGTAAGGCCCACTCTTACTGTTCTGATTTCTGTAGCATTTACTACTTCTGACATGCTCTCTAATTTGCTCATTTATTTTGTTTCTGTTTATCTCCACCTGCTCGAATGACACTCATGGGAACAGCGATGTGCTATTCGTTGATATATTCCGTGTGCCTAGAGCATGACCTGGGCCAGTCAGTATTGATTCAGTGAAAAGTCTAGACTGTCAGGGAGGAGGAAGGCTCGGCAGTGTCAGCAGCAGAGGCCTAGCAAGATGGGAACTGAAGGCTACCCACCAAGTGGTGGCCCAGTGGAACCCCCACCTCTTTTGTCAGGGTACCCATGAGAGGGGTCTGCACTCTTGTGCATCTTGGGGAGGCAGTGAGCTGTAAGCGTCTTGAGGTTTCTGCTTGTGACAGAGCAGAAGCTGAGTCTTCCTAGGACCTTAGAGTGCCTTTCTGCAGCCCACCTGGGAGGGCTGTCTCGGTGTCTGCGCTGGGTGCACCGAGGCTACCATTCTCCAAGCTGACTGTATCCTGCAAATGCAGGGCTCAGCAAGACAGTGCCAGCAACACAGGCCCGGAAGCCTCATGTCTGTGTGTATGCTATGGAAAAATATTCTGAGGGGAGTCTCTTTTACAAGTTAATGTGTAAAAATGCCAGTTTTAAAATTACTCAAGCAGTTAGCTAAGAGGTTTGTTAAGCTCTTTATTCCTTTTAACCTCAAGTCAGTCATTCTCTTTGGTCTATCTCAAACCATTGAACACCTGGTTTATAGAAAGAACGTTGAAATCATTTGCAGTTATAAGACCACTGGCAGTTATTCTCTCCTAATACTTATAAGACAGTTATTGGCTTGAGTTTGATCATTTTGGATACGTTTAATTTTATTTAAAAAAAAAATGTACAATCATGTGCTGCATAATGTCTGTTCAGGCAATGTCTGACCCCATATATGTCCACAGTCCCATAAGGTTATAATAGAGTTCAGAAATTGTGATTAGAGAACAGGACGTAACAGACATAACTGGACATTGTGAACACAACAGCTTCCTACACACAACCCATAGACAGGCAGTCCCCAGGTTATGAATGAGATCCGTTCCTAAGTCTGTTTTGAAGTCAAATTTGTAGGTAAATCGAAACAGGTACATACGGCTCTTATTTATTGTCAGTTAGTCAAATGTTTGTCTTAGTATATAGTATGTATTTTACCGTTTTATGCCTATAAAACATTTAAGAAACACTTCCAAACCGCTCAGTGTTTTCACGAGCATCGCAAAGTAGTGTGTACGTTCATTATTATGAACCATTGTATTTAACTCAAATTTTTTAATATAATAGGCTTTATGACAGTCTGTACTTAAGTACAAGTTGTCCGTAAGTTGGACATTCGTAACCAGGGCACTGCCTGTAATCTGGTGTTTGCATAATGTTCAAATCACATAACATCCTATTTCACAGAACAGATCATGGATGCATCAAAAGAAGATGAAGGAATACACAGAGTCACTGTACCAAAAAGAACTGGTCAACATTCAGCCATTTCAGGAGGTAGCAATATGATCAAGAACCAGTAGTACTGAAGGAAGAGGTCCAAGCTGCAC